ATGAGAAAGGTCATGTTACCATATTATTTAATCCACTATCTGAGCACACTTCACTCACTAGCTGGAAACACACAGGAGGGTTTCAGCATTGGACCAACAAACAGCCAGATCTCCACACGTCATGATGTCTCTGCTATTGAAACTATGCCTTCAAGCACCAGTGGAGCGGGAGAGGAGCACCACAGTCAGCACCAGGCATCTACAGCAGGTTCCTTATTTCTGCAGATATAAGGCCAGGGAGCTACTTGAACACAGGTCTTTCAGTAATATATTTATTTCAGTAAGTATCTATTATACATTTTTAATAAATACTATATATATTGTATTATATATAATATTTCAGTTGTTTCTTTCTATAATATCCTATAGATAAGATATTTTATCTCCACAAGAGTGATTGCCAGCCATATCAGCCATTTCCCAGCAGGCAATAACCCACTTAGAGAAACGACAGCCAAAGGCAGATCTAGTCAATGCCCAACTGTTTGAAGATGTCCATCCCAAGAATTGTTTGGATGGAAGAGACCTGAAACATTGTCTAGTGCCAGCTCCTCCTGCTGCGGGGAGGGATTCCTTCCATTGGCTCAAAGTCCCATCCAATCTGGCCTTGAACACTTCCAGGGAAGGGACATTCACAACTTTTGTGGGTGCCATGTTTTAGTGCCTCATCACCCTAACATGAAGAACTTCTCTCTCATATCTAATCTAAGCTCACCCCTTTTTAGTATGAAGCCATTCCTCCTTGACCCCACCACTCCACACCCCTGTAAAAGTTCTTCAGCTCTCTTGTAGGTCTCATTTAGGTACTGGAAGGTGCTGTAAGGTCTCCCTGGAGTCTTCTCTTCTACAGCCTGAACAACCCCAACTCTCTGTCTGTCCTCACAGAGAGGTGCTCCAGCTCTCTGATCATCTTTGTGACCCTCCTTTGGACTCGCTCCAACCGCTCCCTGTCCTTACATCATGAATGTCACTACAAATCAAGACAAATTAGTAGCTGAAAGAAATTAACATAATTGCTGTCTTATCGCATTTCTTTCCCTTAATGTTTTTTTTTTAAGTCATTTCCTAGCTATTAGGGATTGACCTACTAATTGCTGACAAAACAGAGTCTGCATAGTGTAACACAGATTAAATTTTCAGCCAGGCATGCAGCTCCTCTCCTTCTCTTGGATGACGGCACTTATCCATACCAAGGCTATTGTGTGCCATCTGGTGGACTTTCAGCATTTGGTACAATTAACTTAAGTACAAATTAAGAGAGTCCTGATACACTGTCAGGGGAATCTACCTTCTGTGACCATTGACAGTTTCATCTTATCATCCTATATTTGCTCAAATTAATGTGTGCCTGACAGTAACAACTTAATTGCTCTCACATTTGCTGTCAAATGAACCCGTACTACTGTAACTGTTGTTAACTTTAGCTAACCCTTTGCATTGATAGATTTTACACATAATTGAATGGTCATCCTTTTTAAAATAACTTCCACAAATCAGAATTCCGAACAGAATTCCATATAGAGGACCACAAGCTGACAGTCCTCAATGGCATTTAGGTGTTTAGTTCTCAATGACCGAAAATGCTCAGATTAGCATCTATTTGTCATGAGGGTCAAAGATATTGAAGCAAACCTATTACCACACAACTTTAAAAACAAAACTGAGAGTTTGAGCACTCATTCTTCCTTCTAAGTATGACAGCAAGAACTTTCACTAAAAATACTGTAGGGTTAAAAACAAAATAAGAGAAGCCAGCTAAAACATTTGAAAAAAAAATCCAGAGCACAATTTTTGTACCATATCTAACCTATGCAGCTGAGGCATTTCTTCATTTATCCTTTTTATAGAATGCAAGCTGTGGGATAAGGAACCTGCGATGGAATAAATTTCGAAATGCAGAAATTTCTTCAGGCATACAGTCCTATGGGGGAGTGTATTTCCTACTCCAGCACACTGCCATCAGCATTCTTCCACTCTGCAAGACTTCCAGGATTTTAAAGCTGGGTGAGGGCCACTCTCTGAATGAATGAGTTGCACGTGCCACAAGAGAGCATCAATAAGCAATTGGTTGAACTTTATACCCAACACACGTTGCCAATTCAGAAACCTGGATACAAGATGGCAGTGAATGTGTGGGTAGAAAAGACCAGCTGAGAGGTGCAGAAGTTGTGGTTGTCAAGGAATCTCCTTTTTGGAATCTAGCCATCCTTTCACAGAGAAAACAAGACAAACCCAGATAAAACAGGAAGAAAAAGGACAGCAGTGACTGCAAAGGCAGATTTTGGGTTTGGTCCCCATTGTTACTTGCAACCTGACCTCTAGAGACAAACAGTCTCAGCACAGTCTTATCAGCCATTGTGGGACTTGGCAAACATACCAACAGCTGTGCTGGTTTAGACATTCATTTTAGCTGCCTTTTGGACTCAGGATCACTGCAGTGCTGCTGAAAAGGTCAGCCGAGACAGACACTTTAAGCTGAAAGCTTACATCAAGGAGTGAAAAGTTATACAACCAGGGAAGAGAAAGAAGCCAAGAAATGAATGTGAGGATATTAGGATTTAAGTCAAATGGTCCAGATAGTTTTAAGAACTGGCTGGAGGAGGTGGCATTTGGATTGAGATTCCTTCTTTCATCAGAGTATCTTTTACAGGGAGGTAGTGAGTCCAAGTCATGCCATGGGTCTGAAGTCTCCACAAGACTGCAAGACAACGTTGCTTTTGGTACAGAGAGACCATGCTGCATCAGGCAGGCGTGGACTTGCAGAGAAAAACAGCTGAGGCCAGGTATTTACAGTTAAAGGATTTCAAACAGGCTATTTTGAATTATCTCTGGCCTACCACACAGACTTAATGACCACTAGGATTTAAAGTTCATTCTCCTGATTGCTTTAGCCTGAAAGGAAATCTGGAAGTCCCAAGAGCACTGTGTAATGAAAACCAGGCACAGAAGCAGGGATAAATGGAGATTCAATTAAAAAGTACAGACTCAATCTTGTAGGGAATCCTCTAGTGACAAGTTTTGATGGGGATAACCTTGGATAGCTGCAGGCCCTGAGAGATAGAGCCCTTCTGACACCATCTTGGACAACCTGACTACAGGGTGAAAGACAAAGTCCACATTTTTCTTCATACTGCTTTTCCATCTTATTATTAGTTTTCATTTTAAGAGCAAAGGTAGGTTTTTATTATCCTGGATAAAATTAAGTAGAGCCCTTAGTGTATTATATGTTCTCACTGCAAACTAAATCCACTCATAAATAAGAGTTATAAAAAATATATTTCTTTTAGGAATAGAAGTGCATGCAGTTATTGTTTAAGGTCTTTAACCAAGATTGAAAGCACATTGCAAGGTTTAAATATGATCCAAATAGTTGAAATAAAAAATACAATATTTTTTCCAGAAAGCTGAGACCATATAACATGAAATTAATTTCAACAGACATTAAATACCTTGGAGGACTAAAGCCATATAGGAATACAGATTACAGTAGTTCAAGACATTTTCTCTTTCAATTTTGGAGTTTGGTATGACATCTGAAAGCCATTTTTATGTCAGGTCTTTCACACTAATCCAACTTTACTTGCAGTAAAGTACTGCAAATTATACCATTTGTTTTACTTGTGAAAGCTAACAATGTCCTGTCTTCACAGTGTGTTCAGTCAAAGAAAACTTTCTGGTGATGCAGTATTTGAGTAGTTTCAAAGGCTTTTGCATCACTAAATGTTTTATAGGGAGTTCAAGGATTTCTGGTATCTGACATAAGGCTTGTTTTCACAAAACAGTGTTTCTGAGCCCTCCACAGTATAAAAAGAATTTTAACACCTGAAACGAAACCGATACGTACTTTTTTTCTTTCTTTTGTAACTCCCCATATGGATTCAATCAGTTTGAAACTGTACATTTACTATAACAAGTTAAGTTGATATAAATTAGATTTAAATCAATGAGAGAACACCTTTTCAACGTTTTGCATGAGTTCAGTTGAGTCAGTTTAAAGTAAAATCATACTGTGCCGCTTTGTGTGGATATAAAGTCTGAATTACTTTTCTGGACCATGTCTTCACTAACCAGCCACAAATTCCATCATTCCCAACTGGACAAGGTTTTAGTACTGCAGTTCTAGTTTAGTACTGCAGAAACCATAAGGTTTCTGGACAAGGTTCTAGTACTGCAGTTCATTTTGTAAGTAATTGCTGTGTAGAGCGCACCAGCAACCCTATTGAGGACTTGTACTTTATTTTGCTCTCCTCAGTCTGCGGCTATTAAATGCACCTAAACATTTCTCACCATATGCATAAACTGGATCTGGGGTCTACCAACAGATAACAAATTCTGTATTCTTAAAACTGCTGTATGTGACGAACGCCACTATTCGTCACTGTGACCAAATTGGTCACAAATTGCCCACCAAATTGGGCATTTGGTGATCCTTTTGCCTGGATCACCAAATGCCCAATTTAAATTCACAAGGCTAATTCACAAGTTTCCAACGCTGAAACTCTCCTGTGTGCTTCCAGCCAGTGAATAAAGTGTATTCAGATAGTGGATTAAATAACAGGATAACGTAAAATAAATAATATTTTATATATTTTATATATAATAAGAATAAGAACTATTCTTATTCTTAACACGATAACTTTCTCATGGAAACAAATTCACAGGCTCCAGGTTTCCTGCCCCAAGGAGCAGATGCTCGGGGCGGGTCCCGGGGCTCCCGCCGGCGGCTCCGGGGGCCGCGCTCCCAGCGCGCCGCTGCTCGATCCCCCGGCGCGCCGCTCCCTAAGAGCCGGACTCGACGCTCCTTCCAACTCAGAACACTCCGTGATTCCGACAAGTAAAACAGGTCGGAAAGAGTTAAACTATGACACGGTCCCGCGGCACGAAACGCCCCTCCGAAGGCGAGCACACCCCCCCGGAACTCCGTCACCGCCGCTGCAGGGCTCGCCTCGGCAGAGGGCCGGGCCTGACGCCATCGCAGCGCGCCGCGGGCCCGTGCGTGCATGGCCGTGCCGCGGGAGCCGCCCGCCGCCCCGGCGCTGCCGCCGCCCGCCGCCCCCGCCGCCGCCGCGCCCTCGTTCGGCGCGGCCCGCGCGCTGGTGGCGCGGCGCCACTCGTGCCTGGTGGCGGCGGCGCACCGGCGGCACGTGGCGCTGCCCCCGCGCTTCCTGGGCCGCAAGCGCTCCGGCATCCGCGCGCAGCTGGACGCGGAGCTCCTGCGCTACTCCGAGAGGTGACCGCGGGCACCCGGCGGGGCCGGGAACGGCTCGGCCCGGCTGCTAACCGGGCCCCTCCTCTTGTCCTTCCAGCCTGCAGGGCGTGCCCGTGGCGTACGACAACATCAAAGTGGTGGGGGAGCTCGGCGACATCTACGATGATCAGGGGTTCATCCACCTGGACGTGGAGGCGGACTTCATCATCTTCAGCCCCAAGAAGGGGAAGAAGCTGGTGGTATGCGAGCGCATTGGCGTCTCACGGGATCGGCTTTTTTCATTAAGTGATCAAAGCTTGGCTTATCTCAACATCAGGGGGTCTGGGCCTTAGGTGGAGACATGTTTTAGTTTATGTTAGCTTATTCGTTTATGCATAGTTTATAGCAAATTGAAGTAGTCTGTACTAGTACTTTTTACTGTAACTTGTCTGTTGTGTCTACCTCTAGAATTTACATATAAATATCTGTTGCTAAACCATTGTATCATAGGGATTGCTCGTTTAATAGTGTATCATAACTGCATATATCATACTGGTGTTCCATTCTGAAGAGCACATAGTTCTCAACCAGGTGAGTTTGTTACAGTGACAGGAACGTTTAGGAACGCAGATGTTTAGGAGCAGTACATCAAGTTGAAGCCTGCCTTTCAGTAAAGGCGTTGTATGGATCACAGAACAGCTTTGAGCTTGTCAAAACCCTTGCTCAGCACTTGTGGGTGAAGCCCGTTGAGAGATGGCTTACATTCATTGTTGTGCCATACCTTTTGCAGCCCAGGTGGTATCTGTATAATTGTGTTTCAGGGTGAATGTGCCATCTTCCTAGGAAGAGAATTGAAATTTTTTCAGTGTCTGTCATGAATTCTACGGGTAAAACAAAGGTGGATATGGATTCATATGCAGATGTGTCAGAAATCCACCGAATAAAGTATTTAGAAGCTTTTTATGTGTCTTCCTTATCTTCAGTTGCTGAGTAACTGCTGTGCCAGCTTGAAGAGCATTTTAGGCAAATAAATCATACTTAAAATGGCTTCAAAGCAAAGTCGATCACTGAAGTGTAAGAAAAGAGTTACCTACTCTATTCAGGTATTCCCTGTAGCTAAATCCCACCTTTTGACTTGTTCTCCTGCAATTCAGTTGCATTTTCAGAGGAATTGTATGAAGAGTTTACAGGACTAACTTTGATTTTAGTGAAGGAGCATTAGCTTATTGCTAGATAAACTGACTTCCTAACTTGTACATAAACTCTTACTGCAAATTTTCCATATGGGAAACTAAATATTTAAAAGGTTTGCATTGAAAGGGCTGAATTTTGCTATAGACTTGCATGACATTGTTTTTCTTTTTTAGGGTGTAATTAATAAAGTGGCCCCTAGTCACATTGGCTGCCTGATACATGGGTGCTTCAATGCATCTATCCCCAAGCCTGAACAAATGTCCCCTGTACAGTGGCAAGAGCTGGGGTTGAAAATAGGGGATGAACTGAAATTTCAGGTGTTGCACTTGGATTCTGATACAGCTGGGGTGTTCTTCATTCGAGGAGGACTCACTAAAAGCAGGTATGGTGCCTGAACAGAATATTTTTAACTGATTTTTAACGTTTTTTGCAAGATAAGTGATTTTAATTACATCTTAGTCTTCCAGCTTTCTTATTTCTACACAAATCCCTATATAACTGTATCTATAACTATATACATATATATATATATATATATATATATATATATATATATATATATATACACATATGTTGTCTTTAACTAAACTTTCTGCTGTTTAAGACTCCCATGGAAGTTTTCTCTGGAAAAAATAAAACTAGGTGTTTCTTGAGCTTTAAAAATCTGAGTATGTTGACCTATTAATTGTGGATTGCATATATAATATTTGCTCAAAATAGCACACCCAGGTGTCCAAGAGTAGCTTTGTGCATAGGCTTTTCAAGTGCAAACAGTCCAGGGGTCCTGAACACAGTGTTTACATTGACATTTGAACACAAACGCATGCATATGTATTGTATATTGACAAATACCTGATTTAAATACTTGCTAAAACATGAGAATTTCGAAGATGAAAAAATGTGTCGGCTTCCTCCTTAGGCCTTTGTAAGTTTATGGGGCACCTTGCAAGAAGTCTTGTCTTCAGAAGAGTTCATTCTTGTTTATCTTCTAAAACAATGCTTTACTGAGCAATGTTTTTCTTTCAACATGGTTTTGGTTTTGATTAAATGTATAATATGACTCCTACTGGCAAATTCATAGCATTTTTTGTTTGTTTCTTCTTTTGATCTGGAAGGATGCTCTGGATCATTTCAGTGGACTTACAGTGAAAGTTAGCAGTTTTGTCTTCAGCGCCTCTGGGGACATAAAAACCTCCATGGTTTTTAACTGCATTCTTTCCATATTTGTCTTAGACATTTTTCCAGTGCTCTTGGTTGCAAGGTACCCCTTGGGGGAGGGAATCTGGTGGTTTTTTGTGGAGTTTTTTGGGGGTTTTGTTTTTTAGGGTTTGTTTTTTTTGTGTGTTTTTGGGTTTTTTGTTTGTTTGTGGGATTTTTTGGTGTTTTATTGGGTTAATTGCTTGGTAAAATCAGCAGTGTGCCTCATATATGACTGAATAGGCCACTAGCTGGGTGTTTTTGTGGATGACTTAAAAAAAACCCAAAAAATCGTTACTGCACAATGTGTGGTTATGAATTAGGGGATGAATAAGCACTAGAAATGAGGAACTACCAAATGGTCTGTATGGCACTTTAGAGAAGAAATTTAGGGTAAGATTCGAAAGAGAATATTTATTATGTGGTAAGAAGGAAGCTAGTAAGGTAATAGAAATTACCCTGATAGTATTAAACTCTGATTCTCTGTAACACAGAGTATCATGTTCTCCACTTGTTGTTTTTAACAAGTGTTTATCTTCTATCTGCTTGGTGTTTTAGCAAATTTTGACATTTCACTGTGTGAGGTGCCCTGACATGTCTCTAATCCAGTTTATATTGTATATTTGTTTACAGCATGCGGCCCAAAAAATCTGCTGCAGTCCCTGAAAGTACAAATGGGGATGAAATTCAAAATCTTGAGCACCAGGAAAATGGCCTGAAAAACTGTGGAGAAGATGATAATGTCACTGAAGAGCCTTTAAATGAGATGGGTAACCTGGAGAGGGAAAATGAAGAGCCAGGTGCTGATGCTGTGAATGGATTATGTGATGACAAAAAGAAGAAGAAGAAAAAGAAAAAAGATAAGGACAAGGACAAACAAGGAGAACAGGAACTTGTATTGCCTACCAGTGACTCCAGTGGTTACCAAAGTGACCATAAGAAGTCAAAGAAAAAGAAAAGAAAGCATTGTGATGAAGTTGAAGAAAGTGAATTATCTCAGCTGTCAGAAAAACCCGAAGCAAAAAAGAAAAGGACTAAGGTCTGAAGTGTCTTCCCTGCATTACATTTCAGATGTTTTTGATAAGTTTCAATAAAACCCTGTTTTGAAAATGTGTATCTCTTTTTCTTTACTACACAGTCTGCTCTGCTAGGTCAGATGGTGTTTGTGTGAATATGTGCACCAGCAGTTTGAAAGGCAAGATTTTTTAAAGTCGTGATAGAAGCAATATCTTCCTGGTTTTTTTACTGGAAAACAAGGCACAAAAGAACTGTGGAATGTAATTACAGGAGCACATGTAGCACCTCTGTGTCTCCTTTCCTGTTCCACATTAGCATTAGCCAGTTGGTAGTTACAGTGCGTGCTGCTGTAACTCCATCTTTGCCAATCAGTGTCTTGATTTTACATGAGTATATTAGGATTATCTTTGGGTTTCTGGGAAATTCATGTGAATTCCCAGGAGGCTTAAAAGAGAAATTTTTGAGTTTAAGTTTTCAGCTTTTGGTTGCAGCTCTTTTCAGTTGTGAGGAGCTCTGGGTAGAACTGTAGCGTGAGTAGTGTTTCACCAAGGTAGGAGGCAGTGATGGCTTTGGTATTGATTTACCTGTTACAAGAAGAAATAATCAGCTCCTTGAAAGCCTTGTAAGTAAACAGCATGAATGTGGAAACTTGCTGTTTATCTCTTTTCCTAGGTGATAAAACATTTTGCTGTAGTGATTAATTCTGATGCTATTAGCTCACTTCAATAGAAGTGTTTACACCTTCTAATAACATCCATTCACATTGAACATGTTCTGCATTTCAAGTCTGACAATACTTAGGGCTCACTTTGTGTATTAATATCATTTATACTTCTTTAAAGCTCCAGATGTGCCAAGATAAAGTTACCAGCTTACAGGCTCGATGGCATGACAGTAGACAGTAGGCATTTTAAAGTTATGGCGCTATAAAAAGCCAAGTTAAGACTTTTTGAAGACTTACAAGAAAGTGCACTTCAGTAGCTAATGCCAGCAGTAGCAGAAATTGCAGGATGTCCTCTTGTGTTTGCTCTTCAGTGTACTCCATCTTGAGATGAAGCCAGTTTCTGAGCAGTCCTGAGGCGAGCACGAATTGTCCCTGTTGTGTTTCTGTGTCATGATCCTGACGCTTGATTTCCACACAATTTCATAGGCACTGGCTCTTCTATCCATTTCTCCTGTGCTGTGATAAAACCTGAGAAGTCAGATGATGTTTGTAATGTATTACATCATGCTGCAGGATCAGCTGAGGGCAGTATTCTGGTGTGTTCATGGTTGTAGAGAATGGTACAGAAGTCCCATGCTGATGTACTTAAAGTACACAGACAGGCTGAAAGTTGAAACAATTTTGTCAGAAATTATGTGCAGGTTCCCCCTTTTTATATATATATATAAAATATATGTATATTTAGGTAGTGACTTGAGGGACAAATTGGATGGATGGGTAAAAGACAGAGAGGAGGATGGCAAGCACAGATATTTTTTGATGATGCCAACGTGAAGAGAAGGATGGAGGCAGTTACTGTTGCAGATGAACCAAAGATTGATTCATATGACTTGATCTCTTACTCCTTAATACTCACTGTACCTCACTTTCCTTTCTTCAAGGGAAGGGAAGCACATCTGCAGAGTCAAGCCTCACCAGTTGATAGAAGCAGTTTGCAGCAGTTTGTAGCACCAAAATTCTGTTTTGCTCTGTTCTGCCTTTTCATCAGCATGCAAAGGAAGACATTCAGGGGGAAGTAGTGAAGTTGCAAGTAATGAATCAAGTAACAGACAATATAAATGCTTTCAGCACTTTGCTCTTTTTCCACTTCTGCTCCTTTACTGTTCTCTTACTGGAAATTGCTTACTGTAGTTCAGCAAATTGTGCAAACTGTTTTGTTGATGATTAGTCTTTTCTGAAAGCCTACAATAGGCTCAGTGTTGGGCCTTACTTAGAGGCAGGTTTATTTTTGGCACAAAAGTTTGGCTGGCACCCACTTGTATCATTTTTTGGGTTTTTTTCTTGGGTTACAACAAAAGAGAGCAGTTAAAAATAAATGCAGGAGCTGGCAATTAATGATTGCTGAACAAGTTGTTTCTCCAGTGATACAAATACCATAACATGTTAAATTCCTACTAAGTTTTGTGTCTTTGGAAGGGGAAAGGGAAGAAAAGATTTCAAAAAAGAGGGAAGAAAAAAGTGGTTTACACAGTTGGAGGCAATATTGGCAGCCTCAGAGCTGCACTGTTGATGTTGCTGTAAATACTGTTTTGACATTTGCTAAATATGGCAAGAAAACTTGGATTTTCAAAAGTGAGTTTTCACTCTGATCATGATTTAAATCACTTGCCTTTGGTTTTTTTCCCCATAAAAAGGCAAGATTTTCTGATTCTTGTAATTAACAAAGGAACTGAACTTGACACTTTCCAATAAAGTTTCTCTGAAGTTTGATCTCTATAAACCTTGAAGTTTCTGCTTTCCCTTTCCTGCTTCATTTGTATAACTACATATGAAGAGTTATATTGAATTTTAAGTTGAGACAAGATTTTTGAGTATATAGAACAATCATTTATAAAGCTTCCTGAGAGACCAGGTTCATTTATAAAGCTTCCTGAGAGAACAGCCCTTCTGTTCCTTTTTTCAGGGTGCGTTCTAGTACAACTCATGTCACATAGCAAAAAGAAGGTTAGAAAGTAAAATTGTATTTTATCTTATAACTGTATTGATAGTAACATCAAGGTAAATGTGATCTAGAGAAAAGAAATTGCTGGATTTTTTTTTTTTGTTTGTTTTAATAAGCTTGTAACAAAGCCAATATTTACTTATGGCTATGCTTGATATTCTTTTGTCCTTATTACAGAACATGAAGTTCCAACTTAATCAGCTATCAGTTTCTAAAGTAGAAACTGCTACTTTGTAGTATAAATATTTTGATTCTGCAATTGTTTCTCAGTGTATTGTATGCCTTTGGCAGAAGAGCAAGCAGTCTTACATGAAGATATTTTTAGCTGTCTCTAAAACAATTGTTTTGTATTCTCTGAAGCTTGCCATAATCTGCAGTGCTAACTTTTGCTCTCTGTCTTTTCCTTGCTTCTCCAAGAAAAAAATTCTTTGCTTTTGACTTGGCACTTTGCTACTGCTTTAAATACTTAGCCCAAACAGCCCAGTGGATGAGCTCTAGGGAAAGGTTTTTAAAGGTCTTCAGCAAGCTAGCTGCCTTGTGGAAAAACATGAGCCGTGATCAAATCTGCCTCTGAGTAAACAGTTTGCCTTTGGAAGCATCCCAACCTCAGCCAGCCCTCAGACAGTACAGACCTTTGCTGTGAAAAGGTTATGTGATCTGATGCTCTCAGATGATTATTACTGTTGGCTATGGAAGGACTGAAATAGTTTCATTCTAATCAAAATGTTGATTCTATTCTGCTATTTAGCTTTTAGAAATTCTGTATATTTAATAAAGTCTGAGAGACTTCAGTATCCGGTAGGCTTTGTTTATAAGGATCTTCTTTGTTTTAAGTATTTTCTGGATTCATGTGAACAAAAAATAAGACTGAAAATGAAGATTTGCACTTCTTCAGTACTATCAGTAGATAAGTTTTTTACAGACATAGCTCAAGATTTTTTTACTTTTCATGACTTTAAACATAATTAAGATAAAGATGGGTTGAAATCAGTTGTAAATATTGTCCCAAACCACTCAACTGACCTGATGTTAAGCAAGTGAAAGCAGCAGAAATTGCAGCCTGGCCATGACTTCAAGTTCCCCTGAAGCCAACTGTCCTATGCAAAGGAGGAATAAGCTTTAATTTTCCCATTTTAAGAACCCCTGCTCCATAAGAGTGATCTTATGGAGATGATCTCCTCTCATTTCCTAAATACTGTGATACATCTATAGAGTATCACTGCTGCTAGAATGTTTCTGTTACAACCAGAAACAGATGAACTTGGAAAAGAACTTATTTGATAAATCTATCTATAAAAACAGATCAAATTAACTTTCTGTACAGAAGGTGAGTAAAACAAGCAATTTTTAGTGTGTAGCAAAGAAACCTTACAAACAGAGGAAAGAATTTTGCTACAAGATTCATTATCAATACCTTCCTCCTTTATGGATTATTTTAGTGATTTTCATATGGTTAGAAGGTTAAGCTGTGACCTTTGGTCTCTACATTTGTATGATACTTAGTAAGAATACAGTTAAAAAGACAGGGATAACTATTGCCCTTCAAAGCTGTCTTGGTTATTATTACCCATTATCCTGTTTCCTTTATATTTTCCTTCACTGGTGCCTTTGATGTGTAGAAACTTCTCTAAGAATATTCTTAAACACTGTGAATGTGATGTCCCATTCAAAAGCAGGATTTCATTGTGCTGCACAAATTGAGTGCGAAGTGTATTTCAGAGGCTCTGGTAAGAGCCAATCTGTCAGCACTGTGTTGCTTAGAGGCTCACATTAGGAGTGTGAAGGTTGGACACTGAAGAAGCAGATCTTTGTCAAATGCTTTGACTTGAGTTTCAGGTAAGGTCATTTTCAGAAATAAATTTCAGTTCTACCTGCAAAGGCATCCTGAGTGGGCATGAGCTCACTGTGGTACCTCCATGCCCAGCACACGCAGCTCCTGATGGAGACTGAAAGAGCAGCAGTCAGTGGAATTGCAAGTATGGTCCCAGATTTCATTGAAAGCATTTTGTCAAAATTAGTATGGAATAACTCCCAGTCATTCAGGGAGCTGGCTACAGCCAGAGTAATCTTTTTTTCAAAGAGCAGGCTACAGCTCCCTGTGGTAAGTCACAGCCTGTGCTTTTATTTCCTTATAATAGATGTGTTAGCACATGGATAACTTTATAATTCTGTATGGATCAGTCAAATCAACATTTACAGGCTGGACTGAAAGAGAAGGCAAATTTATCCTGCATCAGTAAACATGAATATTAATATCAGAAAAGTGAGACTTTTTGGAGCACTATAAAATTTTTGGATCAGCTCCTTTTTTTGTTATAGATAACAAACCAGTGGCATCTGACCCTCTTTCAGGATAATGCCATTTTCTAATATGTATGTTTGAAAGTCCATTGTTTCTCCAGAGATTTATGGGCTCACAGATGACCAGTTTTTATGAAGCACTTTCCTAGAAGGATAGCCATTTGTCTCTCAGCTTAAAAAAAAGGCACAAACCCCCCCCCCCCCCCCCAAAAAAAAATCCCAAACCAAAAAGTGCACAGCTGGTGTAGGTATTCCTAATTTTATTATGGAGCCTCTCAGTGTTAGTTTGTGGGTTTGTGAAGCTGGGCTTGCCTTCACCTCTGGTGTATCTACATTCTCCCCAGAGAAGCAGTTCAGGACCTCTGCCTTTCAAAGAAATTTCATGAATTGTGACTAAAAATAAGTCTGCACTGATGATGTATGGGGAGTGCTGATAGATAGATACTTTTGTTATTTTCTTGACATGAAACTGAATTGAGCAGAAGTGACCTGCTTTATGTCTAAATTAATTATTACTAAATCCCATATTTTTTCTAGTTTTCTCTGAGAGGATAATTCCTGTTTCATAGATAAAATTTGAAAATTTGTCTTTTGATAATTTTTGAATTGAAAATCTTTTCATTATAACTAGACATTAAATAAACTTGAGCTCTTGGTTTACTGGGCCAAAGGATTGATGTTATGGACAGTTCTATGGTTTCTGAGGTAGAGAAAAATATGCATGTGTTACAGATTTAAGTGCGTTTGCACATCCTTTTTTTCTACCCATGTAGTATTTCTGAAGTACTTACCAAAATATGCAGATGCTCACAGATTAGTTTTGAAGCCATCTGTGTTGTGGTTATTTCTATCTCACTTCAATGGCTGTTTTGCAAAACCGTTGTCATAAATGATCCCCAAATAGAAACCAGCATCACCGTATTCATTAATGTTTTATATTTATCCTGTAAATCTGTGGTTATGCCATATTATGATGAGGAATGTGAAGACAAGCTGTTGTAAATAACTTTATATCTTCCTATTAATTGGGTATAGCAACTGTCTTTTCCCAGGCAAAAATGATTACTGCAATTACTTATGGTTAGACTTGTTTTGTTTTTTCTCTGGAGCACGCTTTGGAAAATGGTCTAAAAATTCAAGATTGATATATGGAAAATTGATTCAAAAAGAAGGATTTTAAACAAAAAAAAAAAAAGAGAAAAGCTGGGGATTTTTTCATAAAGAGTGCAAAGGAAAATAATTCAGTTAAGGGGATATTTGAAATCTCAATAGTTTTCCTGAGAATTAAAGGAAATTTG